AGCCTGTAAGGGAGACACAAACTTCATGTTGGAAGGAAGGAAGGAAGGAAGGAAGGAAGGAGGGAAAGGGAGAGGAAGGAAGGGAATTAAAAAGAGTAGAGCACCACAACAGTGTTGCATATGGTGCATTGGAGAGACGGAAGAGAACAGAGACAACACCATTCTGAGCAGAATAAAGTTTAATTTAATGCAAAGCAGCCCAGGTTCTCAGTGGTATCTTAAGATGGAAAAGTCTTAAAAAGCAGATGTTACACAGGAAAGGAAGAGTAAGCACAATCACTATGGGCTTTGTGTGTGTGTTCTGCAGCTGGCTCATCCACCTTCATTCTCTTCTTCATGAAGAGCAAGCATTTATTACATTATATAAATGTTCTGAGAAAAATAAAACCATCAGCCTGACCTTACAAGGTTTATTGCTAGATGGAACCTTCATAAAACCTCTTATTTAATATGGTGGAGTAGATATAAGGACTCCCACAATATCAGCCTGGCCCCCAAGCTCCAAACCATCTGCTACCTCTGTTAATGCAGGCTGACGATCTCCAGCCAGTAGTTCAATGAACTTCATGTCCTTAAGATATATTTTGGCAGCACTTCAAAGCAGGCATACACACCTTTTCTGTGTTATCAAAGCAACTACTGAGCTGTTCCCAAACAGCTCTATGAAACAGAGACACCCATTCCTGTCTTTGAGCAATAGTAAGACACATCTTGAAGTGCACAATTGCTAAAATGTAATTACGGAAACGTTCCTCTGTGGCCTCGTTTCAAATGAAGAGTTAAGGAAGTAGAATCTTAGCAGACATGTACACAGTGCAGGGTTGCCCCTTAGCAACTTGATCAACATGAGTTGCAAGCATCCATTCCGTCCAGTGGATGGGAGAGAGGAGTTGCGTTTGCACCTGGAAGAACAGAGTTCAAGCTCCAGCTCAGCCGTAGACTCACCAGCTGGCCGTGGACAAGTCATTTGTCTTCTTAGACTGAGTTCCCCACCTGCAAAATGGGAATAATAGTGACCTACCTTGTGGGCCTGTTGGAACTAGGAATGAGTTATGCTTAGCAAAATACTGTGCACTTGACTTATGAGTATTCATCCTCTAATACAGAGCCAGACTTTAGAAATAAATCCACATTGAACAGAAATGGAAAATAATGAAAGGGGAGGGAGTATATGGACTCACAGTTCTGGAAACCAAGCTTGGTGGTCCATAGTCAATAGAAAAACGTTGTAGGAGTGAAACTTAGATATTTCCACCACTTATGGTACACACTTATTTAGGAAACTTTTCTTATTTTATTTGAGCTACATATAAGAAAACAAAGAGGACCAGAGAAAGTAGAGAAAAGGCCAAAAGGCATAATCAACAGCATGATATCCATCTTCACAAAAAGAGGTTTAAACGGTTGAAGGATTTCTTAGCTCAGAAAACAATACATGGAGGTTTACAAAATTACACTTGACCAAGAAGAAAAATATACAGCCACTCGCCCAGAACAGACAAATCTGAGGATGTTCACTTAACTCCAGCAGACCTAAGATAAAAGTAGTGCTCAGAGCAGACTTTAGAATCCCTATGCACAGATGGCTGCTAGGGCCACCAGCTCAGACAAGATTATCAAAGATCTGCTGGAAGACAGGACAAGTCTCTCAGCAGAGACAAGCAATGACAAGCCAGAACAGAAGCCCTTTTGTGTAACAACAGGACACCTCTGACCTAGAGATGTGATACTGCAGGCTGCACAAAAGGGTTATGGATATCATCATCCATTCTGTAAGCTTCTGGGATAACATGGAAGGAAGTCAGATCTGATAAAGCACTGAGTAAGAGTGAAAACTGGTCTGATTCATAGGAATAGGACTATATTCATAGGCCTAGATGATGTAGGAGGAAGAGTAATCATATTAAGAAGATGAGATTTAGTTTGTACCCACATAATAGGTCTAAGGAGTCATTTTTACAAGACGCAAGTAGCGGCAGCAGTAATGCCAGAAGATCAGGAGAGGACTTTGAATCACATTCTTTCTCCCTAGAACCCTTTCCTTTGCCACTGCTGTCTTTCATGGGGATAGAAACAAGAGTCAGATAATGGCATGGTGTGATGCCAGCGTCAGCCTCTGATATTCCAGATTGGCTGGTATTGTGTAGGGAGATAAAACTATTATATAGATATATGCTTTTTAACAAATGAATGTTTTAAAAAATGTCATGGAGTAGATGAGTG